AAGGTCCCAGGTTCGATTCCAGTCAGGGGCATGTACATTGGTTGCAGGCACATCCCCGGTGGGGGGTGTGCAGGAGGCAGCTGGTTGGTGTTTCTCTCTCATCGACGTTTCTAACTCTCTATCTCTCTCCCTTTCTCTCTGTGAAAAGTCAATAAAATATATTTTTTTTAGAAGGAAGTCTTTGATTGTGTATGGTCGAAGATTTAATGGACTTAGAATTTATTCATCTGACAAGCATTTATTGTTCATCTACTGTTTACCAGGTCTGTGCTATCAGGAAGAGATATAAAAAATGAATGTCACAGTTCCTGATTACAAAATTTTGTCTAATAAAAATGAATGCAAATCTGTCACTTCTATGAGAAAAAAATATTATGGTTAATTCCCTCTGATAATAGTCCAGAGTCATGGTTTCATGGAAAAATAATCTATCATTATATTCTACCAGTGTAAGAATATTCTACTATTCTTACAGGAACTCCTTTAACTGAGTATCACATCCATGCCTAAAGAAGTTTTAATAGTGCTATATTTTAAAAGTTAAATTCAAGTTAACAGAGGCCTGAAGATGTTAAGAAGAAAATTAAATATAAGAGCAATAAAACTAAAATGGAAAAAATTAAATATAAGATCAGTAGAACAATAAATCAAATTTTATAGTAGAAAATTTTGTTCTGTTTCTTTGTCTCAAAAAAAAAAAAAAAAAAAAAAAAAAAAAGACTAAGGAGAAGTTACCTTTATTCTCTAGAAAAGCTTCCACTGGCCCATGAGGCTAGGCACATATTCAGTCTCTACCTCAAAACTTCATTTATAGTGTTCTCCAATTTTTAAAAATGAATTTCTGTAATATGTTTTATAATGTGGATGGGTTTCTTTGGGGTCTGCCTCTGCACTATAGCTGCATAAAAAAAGACATTAATAACTTCTCCGTTAATGGGTTTTTCAGAGTCTCCAAAGACTCACCTTGTACATTATAACTTCCTCCCACTTAGTCCCCTGACGAGGTCTTGATTGCCCTTGTAAGACATCTTCAGGACATGCTGCTTAAGTTAAAGATGATCCTTAGGAGAAATAATTTCTCATACTATGTGTAACACGTGCCCATGAACCAACAGAGCTGAAGTGCAGTCATTGTGTCATTTCACCTTTGTCCCATGAAACTCCCAGATCTGAGAGAGCTGACCCTGGCTCCTAAGTAAAGAATTTCATTGGCAGAGGCAGCTGAGGCTCTATCCCAAACCTGAGAGGTGGCTTTGAACTGGTTATTTCCCTTTTTGTCCTTTGCCAACCAACGGTCACCAAAGGTGGTGCATGGACCACTGGTGGTCTGTGAGATCCAAAAGGTTGGCGACCGCTGCAGTAGTCAACTCACCTAATCATCAGTTTCATAAGGTGGGATGTAGTGTTCCCTAAAATTTTTTTAATTTTTGAAATCTATAGAAGAATGAACAAAGACTCTGTAGAATCACAGTTTTTAAGTGTCATACACACATTCTTAGGAAATACATACATAAATACATATACAAATACATATATAATATATATATAAGTATACATATACATATATAGCAGTAGGCAAAGTAGTTTTAAGTTGTTCATATGGAAAAAATAATAATAAATAGCACAGTAATAAACTCTGTTTTGCATACTCACAACTGTAAATCTACTTTTATACACCCCTGTGTACAGATACAAACATAGATATATAGTTACTAGAGGTCTGGTGCACAAAATTCATGCCCTCAGGGGGTGTCCCTCAGCCCAGACTGCACCCTCTCTCAGTTCAGGAGCCCTCAGTGGATGTCCGTCTGATGGCTTAGGCCCTGCCCCCCATAGGAGAGCTCCCCACAGAATCCCTCAGTGGATGTCTGACTGATGACTTAGGCCCATAGGGAGCGAGCCTAAGCCATCAGTAGGACATCCTTAGCGCTGCTGTGGAGGCAGGAGAGGCTCCCACCACCACTGCTGTGCTATCCAGCCATGAGCCTAGCTTCTGGCTGAGCAGCACTCCCACTGTGGGAGCACACTGACCAACAGGGACAGCTCTTGCATTGAGCATCTGCCTTCTGGTGGTCAGTGCATATCATAGCAACTGATTATTCTGCTGTTTGGTTGATTTGCATATTAGCCTTTGATTATATAGGATAATGTCTTATTATGGACAAGGCCTTTAAGTCAAAAAATTTTAGGTAGTTAAAGGGAGGGGCAGAATTTTCACTTGAGCCTGAAGCTAAAATTGCCCTTAGCTCAAAAATCTGCATATCACTGAGACACATGTTGGTGAGGCTCATTCTGAACCCCCACACTGTTCTATTATGTGTATAAGTATTGAGAACCATCATATCTCTTTAGTGAAAGAAACCTTTTGCTATGTTACAATGACTAACTTTATCTCATAAGTTTTGTTTTGGCTTCAAGCCTGTATCCAGGATTCATACAGCAACTTCAGCTCTTCTGTTCAATATTTTATCTGGCATATCTTTTATTTCATTTTCTCTAAATATTTCTAAATTTTTATGGATTAGATAGGAATAGCCCATGGACACAGACAATAGTCTGGCAAAAGCCTGGAAGGGGTAGGTGCAGGGTGGAGGAGATCAATGGGGGGGGGGGGGGGGCCTAAAACATAGGGACATCTGTAATACTTTTAACAATAAAAATACATTTTAAATAAAGGAAAATATCTTAGTTGAAAAGAGTTTTATGTGAAATAATATAAGTAATTGCTCTACACTGTACTTTATATTCTCAACTCATCTCAAAGAGATATTTATTGACCCTATGTTCACTGACTGCAGAACTGACTTCCACCGTGTCGACCCAGCACTAACTTGCCACAGGGCTACAATCAGACCCTGCTTTTCTCTCCTGGCCTCTGTCCAGGTCTGATCACAGTTCCCTTGGCAGTCAGTGCTGGGTTGCTGAGGTGCCCACAGTGAGACAGTCAGTGTAGGGTTGCCATGGCTTCTGGTGTTAGGTTGAGCCTTCAGTCATTTTATTGTAGATGTTATGGACCCTGGCTCTTTATATCCATACTAGAAGCCCAGTGCACAAAATTTATGCATAGGGGGGAGTTGCCTCAGCCCAGCCTTCACCCTCTCCAATTGGGGGATGTCCCCTCAGCTCAGGCTGTACCCTCTCCCCTTATAGGATGTCCAACTGCCAGTTTAGACCCAATCCCTGGCTTCTAACTGCTCACTTGCCTGCCTGATAGCCCCTAACTGCTTCTACCTGCCTGCCTGATCACCCCTAACTGCCCTCCCTAACTGGCATGGTTGCCCCTAACTGCCTCTGCCTGATAGCCCCTAATTGCCCTCCCCTGCTAGCCTGATCTCGCCCCCAATGGCCCTCCCCTGTAGGCCTGATCTTGCCCCCAACTGTCCTACTCTGCTGGCCAATTTTGATCTGATTGGTTGGTTTCTATGTCTGTCAGCATCAACAGCTCCACCTCCTTGGCATCTATTGGCTCCTCATAGCACCTAGATTTGGTTCTGATTGGTCAGTTTCTATGCCAGTCATCATCAAAAGCTCTGCCTCCTAGGCAGCCATTGGCCCCTCACAGCACCCACATTTGGTTCTGATTGGTTGGTTCCTATGTCAGTCAATGTCAAAATACTCACTTCCTATGCAGCCATTGGTTCCCCATAGCATTCAGATTTGGTTCTGATTGGTTGGTTTCCATGCCAGTCAGCAATGAAAGCTCTGGCTCCTAGGCAGCCATTGGCTCCCCACAACACCCACATTTGTTTCTGATTGGTTGGTGTCTATGCAGTCAGTGTCAGGAGCTCCACCTCCTAGGCATCCATTGGTTCTTCATAGCACCCATATTTGATTCTGATTGGTTGTTTCCTATGCCAATCAATGTCAAAAACTCCACCTCCTAGGCAGCCATTGGTTTCCCACAGCATCCAGATTTGATTTCAATTGGTCGGTTTCTATGCCAGTCAGCATCAAAAGCTCCACCTTTTAGGCAGCCATTTGTTCTTCATAGCACCCACATTTGGTTCTGATTGGTTGGTTCCTATGCCAGCCAGCGACTCTGGGCCTATCAATGGGGTCTGATCAGAAAGGCAGGGCTGATCAGCAACCCTGGTAGAGGCCTGGAGAGAAATGGAGGCAGGCTGCTGGCCAGACTGGGAGAGAAAGAGAGAGGCAAGTGCTGATCAAAAGCTGCCACAGAGGTAACAGATCAGTCCCTGCTTCTCTCTTCAGGCCTCTCTTTGGCCCTGATTTGCAGGCCCCTCAGCCCTCAGTAATTACTGGTCATTATAACCCAGAGTTTTTATATATTAAGATAGATATATAAATTAAAGGTAGAGACTTGAAATGGATCTCAAATTTTGCTCCATGAGATCAGAAACTCTTCAAGGGCAGGAACCATGTAAGTTCATAGGGTCACTGATTCTGGTCTTCAATTTTTAGCTTTTCTGGTTCCAATAAAAATCAAGCCTGCATCTGTCTAACTGCCTGTCACTGGGACTAGTGAGTACTGCCTGCCTGCTTTAGTTTGGCAAGTGAAGTCTAAATTCAGAGGTGACAAGAGAAGATTCCCTAAAGCAGTTCTTTACCATTTATGAGTAACAGACAGCTTTAAGAATAAAATAAAAAAAAATACATAAGTAAACACATACAAAAGTCCACATGTGATTTGTAGAAGATCACAGGCCTTGGTTAACTTAGGAGTCTCTACTTTTAAAAATATTTTCAAAAGCCACTGCCTCATTTCCTTCCCTTTAATCTCCAGGTTGGCATTCCTTCCCTTTCATCTCCAGGATGTTTCATTTTGATTTATTCTGACTTTGGTGCTGACCAGAGAACACTTGTTAGGAAAATCATCACTGAAATTAACAATAACTGCAGTAATAGGTTTGTGTCTCAACATTATGCTCTTAAAAAAATAACAGTCTGATTTAAACAGTAGCACTGGTTTTACACAGATGATACAGCATTTGTGACACTAAAATCAGCTTCAAAATAAATGGCTGTCTCACACTACTCACCGCTCTGTCACAGGATTGTCAGAGGCTGCCTGTGCGTCCTCCACATCTGAGGAAGCTTGGCCAACTGACACTCAGAGGAGATGACATGCATCAACAACATCCGTCTCAGAAGGCCTCCAAGTGTTACACCAAACATGCAAACACAAAGCATGATAGAAGAGATATCCTGGGGCGGCATCTGCAAATAAATAGCAGAAAATGAAAAGTTGCTTCCAAAATCTGGATTCATAGTTATGATTCAGTAGCATGATGGCTTAAAGCACAGCCTGGGGATTCCAATAGGTCTCTCTCTGCCACTTACTTGCCCTTTATAACTAGTTACTGAACCATCCTGATAATCATCCTCTGCTTCTTTAAAATGGAGGCAGGAATCTCCATTTTTCCTAGGGGGAGAGAGAAAGAGAAAGAGGTGGAAAGAGAGAGGGCAAGCTCTCTGGTGTCGCTTCTTATAAGGACACTAATCCCATCAGGTCAGGACCCCCACCCCATGGCTTCATTTAACCTTAATTACCTTGTTTATACGCCCTATATCCAAATACAGCACATTGCAGAGTTAGAGCTTTAGGGGACACAATTCATTCCATAGGAAATGGTAATAGATGTATGTATTCTGAACAATTTGAGATAATGTGATTAAAACTATGGCCTTATTCCTGATTTACAAATTTTATACTTTTTGAACTAAGAAAAATAAAAATTCTGAGTTGAGAAAAAAAAATCACATATAAAATTTATTTTTCCTCCACATGGTTCAAGGGGAGCCAGGCTAAGCATGGCAATTCTTCACCTTCTAACCACTGTGTAAAAATGTACACTGAGTGGCCCAATTATTATGACCTCTGAACGCATAATACTCTGGCCACTCAGTGTGTGTGTGTGTGTGTGTGTGTGTGTGTGTTCATGCATGGGGCCTCTAAAAAAAATTATATATATTTTAGAGGCCCCATGCATGAATTCGTGCATGGGTGGGGTCTGGCCAGCCTAGCCCGGAGGAGGGGACATGGGCAGTTAGCCGTCCTGCCTGCTGGCCAAATTCCTGGTCGAGGGAACAATTTGCATATTAGCCTTTTATTATATAGGACATAACTCAGTGGCCAGATTATTATGTATTCAGAGATCATAATCATCTGGCCACTCAGTGTACAAGTTAAGGTTTGGGTTATGCAGCTCAAAATACAGCACCATGAACACTCCAGCACCTGTAGCAGAGACTGGGACAGAAGGAGCAGGTTCTCCCACATTTTCTGCTTGTGCTGCACGGGGCCTTGTCACTAAAGGAGTCTGGGAGCCAAGGAGAATATTTTAAGGTTCAGGTCACACAGAGAGTGGGGAAGAAGGAAGGACATGTGTTGTGAATTGGAAGAAATTTGCCTAGTTCTCTATTAAATCTACATATTTTTTAATCACCAAGGACCTCTGAAGAAACTGAACTATGAGAAAAAAAAGCTCTCAGGCATTCCCATGCCTCTCTCCCTCTGTTATTATTCCTTCAGCCTGAAGGCTATGCCCCACTTCCCTGTGGGGCAAACTTGAAGCCCCAGGGAATGTAGCCATTACTTCCTCTCTGTAATTTCTCCTAAATCTCAGCACTTTCTCTCTCTCTCCCACCTGTATGTCCCAATACATTTCTTTCCACATCCTTATTGCTGTGTGACCTTTAGCAAGCTCCTTACCATTCCATACCTCAGTTTCCTCACCTATAAAATGGGTTTAATGATATGTATCTCATAGATTAGTGATAATTACTGAAATCACTGTCTTCTGTGCTTCAGTTTGAGTAATTCATACTGCTGTTCTTCAACCTTTATTTCTGCAGTCTAATGAGCTGGTAAACCCATCTGGCTAATTTTTTTTTTTTTTTTTTTTGTGATACTGTGCTTTTTAGCTTTATAATTACATTTGGTTCTTCTTATATCTTTAATTTCCATTTTCATTATATTCATGTTTTCTTTTAAATCTTTGAGCATATTTATATTAGCAGTTTAAAATCCTTGTCTGTTAATTCCATTATTGCTGTCATTTCTGGGCCTAGTTCCATTGATTTAATTTTACCCTAATTATGTTCACACCTTTTTATGCCTAATATTTCTTCATTAAAGGATGGATTTGTGAATATTCTGTTATTGGGTTTTGATTTTGTTTTTAATTTTCCTTGAAGAGTGTTGTGTTTGTTCTGGCAGGTATTGAAGTCAGATATAAGCTTGACCCTTCAAACACCAATTTTAGGCTGGTCTAGAGTAGCCTTTATTTGGGGGCTACCTTAGCTTTACTATCAAGGCACGAGCTTTTGGAATTTCTGTAAGACAAGACGACTGGAGTCTCAACTGAATGCCCAAGGTATTCAGCAAAGTCTGTCTGACTTGCCAAAAATGAGATGGCTCCCAGTGCTGTATCAGCTCTGGGAGCAGTTATCCTTTGCCCAGCCTTGTGGAGTCCTATCCTGAGAATTAATAGTCAGTGAAAGGCAAGGGCATATCCTGCAGATTTCTGCAGCTAACTCCCTCCTCTCCAGCTCTCTGCCTTGCAAAGTTCAGCTTCTTCTTCCTTTGTCTTCTCAGCTCTGTGCAACCCATGTTCTGTGCTGTGTTCCCTCTCTCTACTCCAAAAAGTCCTTTCAGGCAGGAATCTGAGGAACTATAGGACTTACGTTGGTAGTTTTTCTCCTTCAAACATCAGAGGGACATGCTGCCAATTGTCAAATATCTGAAAATAGTATTTCCTACATATCAACCATATTTAGTTGATGGCAAAATAAAGTGATTCCCATATTAGTTATCTTTCATGGTTGGAAGTCCCTGTACACTTCGACACACATCTATTATATATCTTGTCATTAAATTATAGCCATTTTAAAATTTAATCTTCATGTTACAAATATAGAAAGAAACATTTTGTAAAGTGTATGATCATCTAACCACTATGCTGTACACCAAAAATTAATACAAACTAAAATTGAAAGTAAACTGTAATCCTATATAATAATGAGGTAATATACAAATTGACCATCATGCCCTTTCAAGATGGCTGCCTACAACCAGGCAGGCAGGGGGGTTAGTGAGGGATGACCAAATAAGTGAACAACAGGCTGCATGGGGTGACTAGGCCAGTGGGGAGGTGTGAGGGGCAACCTGGCTGGAGGGATGGGCAGTGAGGGGTGACCACGCCAGAGAGGGAGTGGAGTGCAGTTGGGGGCAACCAGGCCCACAAGGATGTAGTTGGGGAAGATTAGGTTAGCAGAGGGGGCAGTGAGGGGCGATTAGGCCAGCAGGGGAGGGGGAAGTTGGGGGTGACCAGGCTGGCAGGGGGGCAGTTAGGGGCAACCAGGTCGGCAGGGAGGCGGCCATTGGGGGTGACCTGTCTGGCAGCAAGGGGCAGTTAGGGGTGTCTAGGCAGGCAGGCAGGTAAGCAATTAGGAGCCAGAAGTCCAGGATTGTGAGAGGGATGTCTGACTGCCAGTTTAGGTTCAATTGGGCCTAAACTGGCAGTCAGACATCCCCCGAGGGGTCCCAGATTGGAGATGGTCCAGGCTGGGCTGAGAGGACCTGTGCATGAATTTCATGCACCAGGCCTCTAGTTAAAAATAAAGATACAAGTCCAAAAAATAAAATTTTAATTAATCTTCAACAACCTACTAGGCCACATTGATATCAAAAACACTTGTCTTTTACATTTTAGATCCTGAATCTAGCAAAATGTCTGGTATGTAATGAGCATTGGCATGAAGTATTTGCTGAATTAGTATATGTGATTTCTTTTTTAATCCTTACTCTGGCCTCTAGTTTTCCAGACGTGACTGGCAGGCTGACTTAATTTTCTTTTTTATCAACTTTGTTTTCTCATCATTGCCTCTGCTTCCTTCAGATATAGAGCTATGTAGTTTAAGGACAATCTGATAAACTTGTACTAATTGCTATTTATTTCTCTACTTGATTTTTCACTCCATCAAACCTTTCTTAGGACTGTGGGCAAGCCTCTCCTTGGGCCCATTCTGCTCTATATTATAATCATTTGCATACTGAATAGTTTTCCCTTGCCATCATCAAACCATATTCACCTTAAGGGTAGAGACCCTATCACTGGATCTCCTACCATGTTTAAAACAGAGTTTGGCACACTTAAAGCACTGAGTAAATATTTTTCAAGTTGAATTCAAGATTGCATTATGGATAAATACCCTTTGATTTACCTTATATTTATTTAAATTTATTTTGTTATATTTTGCAAATATAACTGAATATGTTAACATAATGTTTACATTTTCCCTTTTGTTCCTGTTACAAACAGTGAACAATATTCTCAATAGACTGTGTGTACTGAAAGCCAAAAAAGAAGAAAGAGAGAGAAAATAGAGAATGAAGCCTTAAATTTAATCGTCATGTTTCATATTTCCAGCAACACTTCACACTCTCAGATAACCTGGATAATAGACTAGGCACTGAAGTAAAATAAAATAAAGTTTAAAAAGCAAGGTTCTATTATGATTCTTTGAGACCATACTTCTTAATTATCCTCTGGTTTATCCCTAAAGAGTCTTTCATCTCCATGAAATTTAGTGTTCTCTCCCTTTTTTTTTTTTGTAAACAATCACTTCACAATGCAGAAAATGAAATTAAATTTAATAATAAAAAGTTATGAATGCTGATAGAAAATAAATTTGATCTCTTTATCCTCACTGTGCTTTGCTCCTTCATCTCTGAGGTGTCTTCTTTCTGACTCTGTGTCTCTTCAGTGCCTTAAGATCTAAAAGTTGAAAGGTGGAAAAGATGAGAAGAATTACTGTTAATGAGGACAACTGGGGACTGTGACTTTATAGTCTGTATTTTAAGTACAAAGCAGAATAATGTTAACTCAAGAGATACCTCAAATGGTTCATCTTGATTTTCAACAGGAGCACCTGGAAAAAATGTACCATTTTTGTTTAAATATATTTTTACTAGAGGCCCAGGGCACGAAATTCATGCTCGGGTAGAGGGGACAAAGGGGGGGGGGGGCAATGGGTGTTTCTCAGCCCAGCCTGCACCCTCTCCAATCTGGGACCCCTCAGGCATTCCTCTCATAATCCAGGACCACTGGCTCCTAACTGCTCGCCTGCCTGCCAGCCTGATTGTTCCCTAACCACTCCCCTGCTGGCCTGATTGATGCCTAACTGCTCCCCTGCCATCCTGATCACCCAC